GCAGGCGGACTCTCAACCACTGCGCCACCAGGGAAGCCCTGGCAGGCAGATTCTTAAACCACTACGCCACCAGCAAAGTCCCTAGCGTATCAATCTTGAAGCTATTTTAGATTGCCATGTGAATTTTCTTATTATTCTTCTGTGAAAATAGATGCTTAAAAAAAAAAGGACAACTATCATTTGAGCTAATGTGGGTTCTGCCAATTGCTGAGTATGTCTACTCCATTTATGCATTTTGGACCTGGGGAAATAATCCTAGGGCGGGTTGGAGGCCCCACTAGACCCACTATGAGATGGACCTTAGCAACACCTCTGTGATCATCTGACCTCCATAAGCCCCTCCCCTGACTGGTGGACCACAGTGAAATTTTAGGTCTCCTGGAATTAGTGTCAGTTCAGAGTCAGTGTCCAGTAATCTCTGAAACGTCTGATTATGTCCTTTCCTCCCAGCGCCGTCACCACAGTAGGGTATAACATGTTGGTAATGTAGCAGGGTCCTTTCCCAAGGCGACCCAGCCGATCCTTCATTCAGGGGGTTCTGGGTCTGTAAATGGCTCAAGTCTGGGAACTAAGGGAGGGACCATGACTTTCTGTTTTTTTACTTACATTCACCTGACCTAGAACTCTTCTTCCACTTGTGTAAATCAAGTAAGAGTTTAGTAGACTCTCTATTTCACTTCTAGGAACACCATGATCAATTAGCAAATTCTATAGGTCTCTGTGAGTCACATTTTTCTAATTACTGCTTCGACTTGGCTGTCCATTATAATAACCACACCCACTTGTCTTTGGCGATTAAGTGCTGTCCCCTGGCCTCTGCCAGCCTGACCTACAGATTTTGGACTTGCCAGCCTCTCCACAATTGCATGAGACTATTTCCTAAAATAAATCTCCCTCTTTCTTTCTATATATATATATGTGTGTATAGACAGGTAGATAGTACACATACTATATACTTTCCAGAGAAACAGAATATATATATATATATATATATATAATTCTGTTTTTTCTAGAGAAAAAAAAAATATGTTGCTCTGTTTTTGGAAAACTCTGACTACTGCAATGGAAGGCATTTAATAAGCAGAAATAGCCTAGTTTTCTAAGGATCAAGATAAAAAAGGACTTGATTACACTACAAATTTAAGAGTTGAGAAATTATTTTTTGCTTTCTGGATTTTGTTCAGCAACAATCTTCAGATTTTGCTGGAGACAGTACCTACCCACTAAAAACAGTGCAACCGACCAATCTTATTTTTGTATAAATACGCATTCAAGAATTAAAATTGGTAAGAGAGTACGTATCTTTTCAGAAATTAAAAATGGTCTACTTAAAGAAAAATTAGGAATTAAAATAAAAATTGAGGGGCATAACCAGACGCAAGCAAGGCCAGTTTGGCCAGCAGAAGGAGGTGAGGGCTTACATTGTTTTGCTTTGTCCATGTCCTTGTTGGCCTCATTGACCGCATGCTGTATCTCATCCAGCCAAAGAATTTTAGAAGCACTTTGAGGGTCCTGAGAATATGGTCACAGAATAAAAGAAAGAACAGTGAATGATGATGAAACAGAATTAATAACGGCTTTTCAGGAGCCACTTTATTAAAATCTCCACAAACTCTTACTTAGCAACTACCCAGCACAGCCACAAACTGTACAAGCTACTGATGAAACAGACTCCCAATTGGACCAGTTCTCCCTTCTCCACGGCCACCCCTTTAGTCCAGTCCCCCATCATCTCTCACTGGACAGCTGCTTCGATCTCCTACTTGCTTTCATTGTTTCCAAGTTTGCCTTTCACCACAGTGGTCCCCTACAGAGAACCAGATGATCTCTCCAAAAGGGATGGATCATCACGCCATTCCTCTATTTAAACTCCTTTAGAAGGTTTCCCCCAGCAGTTTGAAGGAAACAACACTCCCTTCCCATGAATTGTGGGGATCTGATGATCTGGCCCTGCCGACCCCTCTGGCTTTACCTCACTCTTCCCTACTCACTGTTTCAGATTTTCACACCAGCCTCCTTCAGATCACATCATTCTACCCCAGCTGCATGGCTGTTGGTTTTTTCTTATCATTCAGGCCTTAATTCAAATGGCACCTCTTCCAAAAAAGCCTTCTCTGGCTACCTTAGTCAATCAAATACTCTCTCTCCCAATCACTCAGTAACTGTGGTTTCCAAGGTGGCCCAGGGTGCCATGGAAATACTTGCAATTTGTGGGAAACAATGATACTTGAATTTTATCAGACACAGGGACAAATATATGAACAAAAATATCCAAACAGAAACATGGTGATGGGCTTCAAGGAGCTAACAGTTTAGCAGGAGAGAAAGAGGCATCAAAAAATTATACTTATTGGATAAACAACAAGGTCCTACTGTATAGCACAGGGAACTATATTCAATATCCTGTAATAAACCATAATGGAAAAGAAAAAATATACAATTATAATACAATGTGATCAGAGCAATATTACCTGTAGATACACAATCTAGAAATAGCCAAGAAGAGATTTATTTATATTAGGAGTGTTGAGTTGCAGGCGGAGAAAAGACCAAGTAGTTAAGGATAGCTTCAGAAAGGAAGTGGTAGCAGCAATAAAAAGGTATTCAGTTATCTTTACTAGTTTTTACTTGTGGGTCGATTCTGATGATCTTACTCCAAATGTGGTGCTGATATAATGTAATTAAATAGGACTTTCAGACAGCAACTGCGTTTCATATAAACTTGTCTAAGATTACAAGTAAATTTTGTTAGCAGTAGAAATTAAATATTTTCAGAGAAGATGAGACATTTCATTTTAAAAAGTGGGAGCATTAGCCTATTTGTAGGAGTAAGTGTCATGTACTAGAGCCTGAAGCAAGACTGTGAATGAACAGAAGGTAGGTCATTGGACCCATGGAGAACCAGCTCCATCACTTAGGACTCAAGAAGGATGGGGGGCAGGAAGGAGAAATAACATTCACAAGTTTCTTTAGCAGGCTTCAACCCTCTTTCCCGCAGAGGCTAACAGGAGATGATATATGTGGAAAGGGCTCTGAAAATGAGACAAAATATCTGCTATTTCATCCTGTAACCTCCAGACTAATGAAGACCATTGAGGAAGGCTTGGTTCCTGCTTCCACAATCACCTTTAGCTAGATCTGCCACATGGGAACCATCAGCTAATAAGAGTTTCCATTTTTGGGGAGAATGATGTGGAAGGTTCAAACAAGAAGTAAGATGGGAAGTTGAAAACCAGAAGAGGAATGAAGAGATGGGAATAGAAAGTATTTTTTTCTCTGCTTCTAAGCCAAAGAGAGCCCAACCACTCCCCAAGGTATAGCCTAAAAACTAAGCTCCACACAAGTTCATTTCTGTCTTTCGCAGGTTTTTTTGAAGGGTATTTACCAAATTCCTTCATAACTTATCAGTGGAGAAGATGTACCGTATAAACTTTTACCCAGATGCGAAGGAAGTTACAATCCCACTTCAAAGCTGAAAGTATCAGTTTTGTAAGCTAAACCCAAGAGAGACTTTGCAAATCAGAAGAATTTAAGTCAACAGTTTAACTCATGACCCACAGACGTAAAGGTTGCTAGAATTAAATGTAAAACCAAGAGTAAAAACTGAATCCTACCAGTGTAAGGTCTCCCTTCCAACTGCTCACTAGAAGACTGGAAATAGGATATTTACAGGATGGCCGTGACTCTATCTCCAGCTAAACATCTAGGTTCAACATATGGGTTACAGACTGTTTTAAGTCAACAGAAAGTAGGCCATCTGAAAATCAAGTAATAAATTCCTGAATTTAAATGATTCCTAGAAAATTTTAAATAAAAAAGTAACTTCTCTTCAATATTTTGTGGTTTTGGGTTATTATTTCTGCAATAAAATAGCATTCTATCTCAGTTTGTGCTACCATATATTATTTGAAGTATTAAACACTGATTTTTGATTGTAAAATTCTTGGTGGGATAACATTCAACCAAGATGTGAAAAATTTACACAGATCCATTTTCTCCCACCTTATTCCTTAACCTTAAGTCTTGTGAAATTTGCATTTTCTGACTCTTGCTGCATTTTTATAGTCAACAGGCTATTGGGTTGTCTGGCTTAGCATTTAAGTTTTGTTAATTATAGGAAAATGTGTTATAATGTAGGTTTTTTTTTTTTTTTTACTACATATTAAATTATATCCTGCAGAACATAACTACACATAAAAGCTTATATGTTAAACGACTATGTGAATGTGTTTAACATTACTAAGTTGAACACTTCATAAGTGTTAAGATGGTAAATTTTATGTTATGTTCATTTTACCACAGTTAAGAAAAAAAGCTTACTGTAAACCTGCTCACCAATACCCATGGGATAAAGGGAGTCCTCTGTGTTTTAATGTTATATTACGATTTTAGTTTAATCAAACAGTATTTTTGGGCGGGGGTCCCTAGTTATTTGACCCTACAGAATTATTGAATGGCTTAGAATATGTTTAGCTGTGGCAAAACAAAACACAATGAAACCAAGTTTTGGCCAAGCACTGATGACAAATTCAGATGAATGTGACACTGAAGGAGAATTTTCAAAGTAATCAAGAGCTTAAAACAATTTTAACTTCTTAAAAAAAAGTTTGCTTTCCATGATTCATTTAGCCTACAATTATGTAATGAGTTTAAGAATTAAGATTTAAAATAGCTGGAAGGATAAAGGAAAGGATAATTTCTGACAGGCTCAATCACTAAGTAGAAATGACACTCTAGAAATTCATTTTTAAACTGGGTAAAAATGAGATACGGGACAGAGTCAAATCTAACTGCTGCTCAGCATCTGTTTCCAGCTTACTTCTGTCAAGGACTGTTCTTAAGGGCATTCATTCAATGCACATAAATTCACTGGGTGGGAATGACAGCTTCTCTCCTGTGAGGGATAGGGAAGAGTTCAGTGACTTTCTCCGGGGATAATGTAACGTGCTCAGAGGCTCAGGCTGAGTCATGCACACTGAAACATGAGTGCTGTCACACCCTTTCCCTGCAGAGGACCCTGGCAGCCTTCCTGTCTGCAGAGCACAAGAGAACACGCTTCTACAGAGAGAACCAGGTTTCCAACTGGTGCCAACACGTGGAACCGAAGTGAAACCATACTCCCTAATTTTAAACATTTGAGAAACGGGCCTCAGATGATCAAGATGAAAGCTGTCATCTTTGTAGCTGTTGGAGCACTGCTTCTGTCACCTGCTTCCTGTCAAAGTGGTAAGCTCTTTTCTTATGGGGTAGAGTGGGAATGCTGGTTTGTGTCCCAAGAGTCCACTGAATCTAATCTCTTTTACATTTCACACAAATTGCACCCCCAAATCTTAGTTATTAAAACGTGGAATTATGGACGTGAAGAGATGTAGTCTGTTCACTATTCCAAACTTGTCAAAGACTAAGTGTTCTCTGCTGATATTTAAAATTTTGTGGCATAGTCAAGATGTTAGATTTCTAAAATTAAGTCAAGAATCAGTTTTCTTTAAAAGTTTTTGATTTTCTAAGAATTTCCTCTGATTTGGCAAAGATAACTTTTTTATAAGAGATTTAAAAAGTCCTGTTTATACCTCCTGGAAACAAGAATACTCCCTGATAGACGGAGTGGTCTGCTTTCAGTAATCAGTTATGCTAATGAATTTGTGTTTCCCGAAAGAAATATGTGTTTCCTATTTCACTCAATACAATGTTATCCTGTAACCTCCTGCTTGCCCTAAAAGTAATCAATTTGGGATAGGGATATCCACAACCCCCTTACTGTTGGGGTCCTATCCCAGCCAACGTTTTAGGAACAGGAAAGCTGAAGGGAAGAAATGACAATGGGTGGGGGGGGCGGGATAAAAATTTTAAAAACCAAGGCTCTATAAAGGAATGCTGCTTGCACTGATAGTTGGAATCACTGAGGTGGCTGAAGGATGGCGCTGAGAGAACCAGCAGAGAGCAGCAGCTCGTTTGAGATTTACAGATGAGTGAGTGCTCTTTCTGTGAGTGGATGAACCAAAATGAAGCAGAAGAGCAAAAGAAAAGAGGTTTGGGGAGGTGGTTCCTTCAAGGTGCTGGTGGGGTTTGGTGGACGTGAAAAGGGAGGAATTTAAAAGGTGTCAAAGTAATGGGATAGCGGGGGAGTGGGGGAGATAAATTAGGAGTTTGGGATTAACATATACACACTCCTATATATAATATAGGTAAAAAAAATACCTATAATATAGGTTAAAAAAAAACAAGGACCTACTGTATAGCATGGGGAGCTATACTCAGTATCTTATAACAACCTATAATGGAAAAGAATCTGAAAGAGAATATATATAAAATATATATTTTATGTACATAAAACAATCACTTTGCTGTACACCTGAAACTAACACAACACTGTAAATTAACTATACTTCAGTTTAAAAAATTATTTTTAAGAAAAGGTGACAAAGTGAAAGGCAGTGAATTTGCTTTCGTCAGCAGGGGTTGGGGAGAAATGTGAAGGAAGACGCTGTTATTTAGTGGCTGAAGTCTGTTCCCTTTGGGGGTCAGTCCCTCTCCAAGGCCTTTTCTCAGGTTGAAAAACATTTCAGAAACATCATGCCAAATAAACCTGTATAAAAAACTCAAATAAATTACAAAATATATATGTAATTTAACAAGTACTATTTCTTAAGGAAAACTAGGCCCTAAGGAATAAAAGAGCCAGAATTCTCAAGGAAATGGAATCAAGGCTTGTTCAGAGTCACTGTTTAGCATGTTTTCAGGCATGATGTCTTGCTCAATCACTGGAATTTTCTGAAAAGTGACAAACACTAATGGTTTCAACAGCTCTCTTCTCAGATCTTGAAGGGACATAACTCGTATAGCATGTTTTTCAGCCCACATTTTTCAGCTTTGTGCCTGTCTGGAAAGGCACTTCTCTCCGGGTGATGTCAGACGCAAGAATTTTCCAAAATGCCAGAGTAAGCAGCAGGATTTTTTTTGTTTGTTTTTTTGCGGTACGCGGGCTTCTTGTGGCCTCTCCCGTTGTGGAGCACAGGCTCTGGACGCGCAGGCTCAGCGGCCATGGCTCACGGGCCCAGCCGCTCCGCGGCATGTGGGATCTTCCCAGACCGGGGCACGAACCCGTGTCCCCTGCATCGGCAGGCGGACTCTCAACCACTGAGCCACCAGGGAAGCCCTAATCATGAGGATTTGAGTGGCTGTGCTCAAGTGTCACACAACATGCCTTCTAAGTCCACATCTACACACTGGCACAGAAGAATGCCACTTCCCCGAGTTCTCTTTCCTTTTCTCTAATCTTTCTTCCCTTAAGGACACCTGAACACCTCCTCATCCTTGCTTGTTCAGCAACACTCTCCCTCTGCGTTACACCCCAGATTCAGTTTGTGCAATCTCCAGGTTCTGAGGGAGGCTTCAATTTCACCCCGGGGGTGAACTGGTAGAGATTAAATCAGGAAGAGAAACTGGCTTTGAATGACAGCCAGGTTACTAAATACTAACCTCAAGGATTCAACATGTAGGAATTCAGAGCTCGTATGAAAAGAGGTAACTGGCAAAGCAATGGCATTTTAAATCGATATAAGTATTAGGTTTATATTCAGCATAAAAGCTCATCTTAAGGTAACATTAGAAATGTGAGAGAATCTACTTTCTCTACATGTCAAGGATTAACTTACAGAAAATTACACAGTGAAAAGCAGGTTTGAGTGGTAAGGTTTATTTTGCCTTTGAAACTGCTCTTTCATGAATTATGATTATTAGTATCAACATGCCAGTAAGAGTCAAATATTTATAGTATGTAATTTGTTTCTATCCTCTTTTTCTCTTCTCTCATTTCCAACTTCTGGGATCATTTTATCAATTTCCTCTTCTGATTTTTCTTCCTTTGTCTCCTTTCCCCTTAAAATCTGGCATTTCCGCTCAAGTCTGCCTTTGGGTTCTTTCTTTTCACATCTCTCCCTAGGGCATTCAAGCACTAAATCAAAGTATGGTCTCCACGCAGACTAAAAACCCCATAACTCTCACTTGGGCTCCTGAGATTTTGGACTCCACATTTAAGTCTTCTAACCTGTCATGGGACATTTTACATTCTAATATGGCACCAGCAATTCAAACTCAGGAATACTCAAAACTAAGATCTTAGCTTCTCCCTGTGTTGCACCCTCAGTCCCCCTGCCCCGTCCCATGCTCCATCCGCCTCTGCTCCAAGACATCCAGAGTACAAACCTCCCAGTGACTTTTGCTTCCTGCTTCTCCTGCACCGTTTCCAGAGCCAGTGAGACGCAAGGCCCTCTGAGCCTCTGTTACAGAGTCTCACGTGTTCATCTTTACCTCTCCAATGCCATTGCTCTAGCTCTGTAACCCACCAACTTGAGTTTGAAATGACTACAGTAGCCTCCAAATCAGACCCCCTTGCCTCTAATTTCTTACCTTTTAGCCTATTCTCTACGCTGTCATCAAAGTCATCTTAAACACAAATCAGATCATGATTATATTAGTTTCCTATTGCTGCTGTAACAAATTGCCACTACCTTAGTGGCTTAAAACACAGATTTTTTTGTATTTCTGAAGGTCACAGGTCCTAAAATCGAGGTGTCAGCAAGGCGGTTCCAGGGGAGGATCTGTTTTCTTGCTCTGGTCAGCCCCTAGAAGCACGTGCATTCTTTGGCTCGTGGCTCCTTCTTTGACTTTCAAAGCCGGCAGCATAGCATTTTCCTGTATCTCCAACTTTGACCCTTTTCCTCCTCCTCTTATAAGGAGTCTTATGATTACATTCGGCCCACTGACCAATCCAGGATACTCATTCCATCTCAAGACCCTGAAGCACACCTGCAAAAGGCCCTTTTGCCATAGAAGGTAACATATTTACAGGTTCTAGGCATTAGCAGATGGAAACTTTGGGGAGCCATCATGCTGCCTACCTCAACGGCCATTCCTCTGTTCATCATTTTGTCTGTGTACAACACCAGCATCTGTGAATGGGCACATGATTTCTTAGTACAGTTTACGGGCCCTTCAGAGATTTGGCTGTAACCTACTCTTCCAACTTCATCTGTCAGATGCACCTTATTTGCGTAAGAATGTGTTTTTGTGCATCTTCTCCGTTAGTCTGAGAGCTGAAGACAGGGATGGCATTGATTTAAAACCGGGTATCACTGGCATATAAATATGCAATAAACATCTGTTGAATCAACTCATCTGATATTTCCAGACCCCATGTCAGCCTACACAATGCCTTTGCCCATTCATCACCTACCAGAATCTTATTCTTCTATTAAATTCCACCTCTTTAGGAACCTTGCTCATCTTTGCTCATGTTCATCTTTTCCTTGACATTTTGCTCAAACATCTAAATCTATTAACTCTCGCCTGAAGAGTTTATAATCTATACAGTCTATACAGTTTATAATCAATATGACGTTAGCCTATAATGGTCTGATGTGCTATTTTTTTTTTTTTCCGCGGTACACGGGCCTCTCACTGTTGTGGCCTCTCCCGTTGCGGAGCACAGGCTCCGGACGCGCAGGCTCAGCGGCCATGGCTCACGGGCCCAGCCGCTCCGCGGCATGTGGGATCTTCCCGGACCGGGGCACGAACCCGTGTCCCCTGCATCGGCAGGCGGACTCTCAACCACTGCGCCACCAGGGAAGCCCTGATGTGCTATTTTTGTTTCCTCTTATAGTATCAATATTACAAACTCCTTACATACAAGGAGTTGTCATCTAGTTTGGGTTCCTGCATGGGTTAGCATGCTGCTGGGGCATATGATATACATTAAATGCAGTCCTGTTGATTACCTGATCTATAGTGATTTTTAAAAATAAAAATGACCCTAAATTCTACCATTACAGAAATTATGTCGCATAAGACATCTAGTTTTATTGTCTCCTGAACCATAGATATGAGTCAGCAACAAATCATATGTTAATACTTCTTTTCAATTACAGGCATGGAATGTGATGCAGACAACTTGGCAAAGCCAACCTTACCTATTAAGACCTTCCGTGGAGCTCCCCTGAATTCTTTTGAAGAGTTCCCCCTTTCTGCCATAGAAGGCTGGACAGGAACCACCACAACTGTAAAAATTAAGTGCCCTGAAGAAAGTGTTTCAAATCTCCACGTGAACAATGCTACCATGAGGTACCTGAGCAGCTCCTTAAGTACCAGACTGATACCTGCCATCTACATCCTGGTGTTTGTAGTAGGTGTGCCAGCCAACGTGGTGACCCTGTGGATGCTCTTCTTCAAGACCAGATCCATCCGTATGAACGTCTTCTATGCCAACCTGGCCATTGCAGACTTTCTTCTTTGCGTTACACTGCCCTTTAGAATAGCATACCATCTCAACGGGAACAACTGGGTATTTGGAGAGGTCATGTGCCGGGCTACCACAGTCATCTTCTATGGCAACATGTACTGTTCCATTCTGCTCCTCGCCTGCATCAGTATCAACCGCTACCTGGCCATTGTCCATCCTTTCACTTACCGGGGGCTGCCCAAGCGCACCTATGCCTTGCTAACGTGTGGATTGGTGTGGGCAACGGTTTTCTTATATATGCTGCCATTTTTCATTCTGAAGCAGGAGTACTATCTTGTCCAGCAGGACATCACCACCTGCCATGATGTCCACAACACATGCGAGTCCTCGTCTCCCTTCCAACTCTACTATTTCATCTCCTTGGCATTCTTTGGATTCTTAATTCCATTTCTGGTCATTATCTACTGCTACACAGCCATCATTTGGACGCTTAATGCAAAAGATCGTAGGTGGCTGTGGTATGTTAAGGCGAGTCTCCTCATTCTTGTGGTTTTTACCATTTGCTTTGCTCCAAGCAACATCTTACTCATTATTCACCATGCAAACTACTACTACAAGAACGCCGATGGCTTATACTTCACCTATCTCATAGCTTTGTGCCTTGGTAGCCTGAATAGTTGCCTAGATCCATTCCTTTATTTTCTCATGTCAAAAATCACGAATCACTCCACGGCTTACCTTACAATGGTGAAATCATCTTAGAGGACAAGGAAAGCTATGTGTGAAAACATACACTCTTGGGATAACATATGTATCCTGCAAGGACCTCTATTCTCTAGCTCCATTTGTGAGCCCCTAAGAAATGGTGTTTCAAAATAAAACATTACATAAACAGTAACTTAAAAAAAAAACCTATCAGTATTTTAAGAATGAAAATTCAGGAGAAAAGATATCTCTACCTGCCTGACTGGCACTTCGAAGCTCTTTAAATCTCCATCTTCCCTACTTCTAAGAGGTTTCTATTCTAGATGATCTGGAGGAAGAGGATGGAACGGGGGGCAAGGGTGCAGCATGGGGGAGCTAAGATCTCAGTTTTAGTGTCTGGGGTCATTTGTAATTCTTCTGCCTCCTTCAGCTCTCATGCTGGTGGCTGCCTCATCAGCTGATTCTATGTGTGTAATGTCTCTCAGTAGGGTCTGTTATCCTAGCCCTACCTTTGCTTTCTAACCGTTCATCACTGCCAGCCTATCCTCCACTTCTCAGTCCACTGCCAGATTAATCTTCCTCAAATACCAGTTTGAATACATCACTCAAAACCCCCAGTTCCGAAACCTCCATTGACCATTCACTGCTTTGGAATTATAAATCTTTAGCTTAGCATTCAGGCTAACACTAACTATTTCCCAAAAAACCTGGCATGTGATATAGGCACCTGCCGAGCTTCTTGCTTAGCTGTGATCCAGACTTCTCCTCATTTTGCCCCTGCCACTAACCGGAAAGCTATTTCTAATATGTTTGCCTTAATTCTTTCCATCTCTCAAAGTCCTCAAAGGACCATTCTTCCCTGACTCTCTAGCCAGAGTTCATTTTTCTCACCTGAACCTTCAAAGCATTTTTTTGTATTTTTATTATGGCATTTATATAGGGCTCATTTATATACAAATATTAATTCCATAAGCACTTATTAAGCACCATGTGCAGTAGAGAAGGGGCTTGTCCTCTTCTTTAAGCTTCTTGTAGCAATGCCAGGCCCAAGTCTTCCCAGGGTCTGTGGAGCCAGGCTCCATACTTTGCACATCATGTGGCTGAATGAATGAAAGAATAAAATCCCAAAGCATCTAAACAGCATGAAGCCAATTAAATTCATACTGAGAAGGCAAGGTATTCCATATGACATGGCACATTATTTTTGGTTGGCTATATTTTTAAAAAAAGAAAGAAAGCTAAGGATATATTTATGAGGTCACTTATAAATTTAAAATAATGACTCCATTATTTTTGCCCTTATACCCAGTTTTTAATGGGGAAATGATATTTTGTTATAAATGCCCAGTACATTCCTGTAGGGA